GGCAGATTAATGAACCTTTCTATTTCTTTGAAAAATACTTTTGTTCAATGCAACAATTTATAATGTGTGTTAGATGAAATAATATAACTGAAAGGCAAAGTTTAACCATTGTAACGAACGGGGCATGGGGGGCACACATTAATAATTAAAAAGAATATTAAAACCACAAAAAAAACTACCTTTGGCCAAAACACGTGATCGTCTAGTTTAAAGAAATTAAGTTAGGACCCCTTTTTGTTGTGAATACGGTTCTGGATACGTAAGTACTTGAGCAATTGAAAAGATATTTAAAAAGCAAAGAAAAAGGATTAAATTAAAATAAGTTTATTAATAAAGACAATTAATACAAGAGTTAATTATTGTTACTGTACATTAATAATATAAATAAAAACATTTGTATTTGAAAAGTATGATTGATTTAAGTTAATAAGGTAAAACCTTAAAAACCCACATATACAATACAGACATGTATATATGTCACACATCTCAACAATATAAATAATACAACAAAATCAAAGTAATCAATATGAATATAATCAATTATATTATCATATTGCTAAGATTATTCCCTACCTAGCATTTATTGTAAAGATGGGTGAATTGATACTTCCAAGTCTCCGGGCTCGACCCCTTCGACCGATACCAACACCGTTAAACAAAAAAAAATTCTAACAAGTGTTTGGTGTGGCTTAATTGCAACAAGCCTCAACATATTAAATAATGAATATCAATTTATCACATAAATAAAATAAGATAAACTGTACAAAATAACGTATATAAATGTTAAATATAAATATGTAGTACAATGTAAAATATGTTAAAGTAAATGTAATATAAATATAATACTTATAAACATAAAATAATGATTATAATTTGGTTTGTCCATCAAAAACCTTTAAGATAACATAATTCAACTTATTATTTCTTTCACAAACAACAAGTTGAAATAATAATAATAAAATATAGTTTAAATTAAATATTAAATAATTAACCACTCATTATGATATTTGTGACCTCAGATTATAATAACTAAATATAGAAAAGACATACCTATTTAAATAAACAACACTTTCACAAAACTGAATTTATATAAAAAAACAATGTAATATTTGTTAAATTCACTCCTTGATAAAGTTAAAGAATTCAATAGTAAAACGTAACTCTCTCTTCAAATAACAAAAACCAACTGTTACAAAATTAAAGAATTAAACTAATCCCTTCAAATAGCAACACGTAACTGTCTCTTCAAATAGCAAAACCAAACTGTTTAAATTAAAGAATTAAACTAATCCCTTCAACTGTCTAAAATATACTGTCTCTTCAAATAACAAAACACCACTGACTAAAAAATACTCTCATCCCTAATTTTTAACACGCTCTTTTTATGTTTATTTTTTCAAAGCCAACCAGGCCTATCGATATGGTTCATTTGGAACGTGAGAACCTTCTCTGTCTACCGATATGGCTCAGACATACGTGCGGTTTTGTTGAGTCTCCCTAGTGCAGCATGGGATCCTTAAAGACACCAACACGTAGGTCTACACTTAGCGCCTTTACAGTGATTTATCAATATCATACTAAGTCAAACCTTATTTTTATTATGTGTTGACAAAGACTCTAACTCTGAAATGCTTAGGTTAAATATGGTCCTAATAAATTATATAATATAAACAGAATGGGCCTAAATATTAAGTTAATGCACACTTGATACAATTTTAAGTTAAATATTTAGAACTGGTCTCCTATTTCGTAAAGCCTTAAAATAATAAATTAAGAAATGTTAAAAATTAAGTGCCCCATATATCGTACCATTACACCATTTATAAGGAAATGTTATCCAGACCACTTGCATTTGATTTAACAAAAAATACAGCCTTTTTAACATCTTCAAAAGAAGCCAACTTAATAAAAAAAATTAGATTATTTTTGTATAAAATTGACCCATAATATCTAATGTTATCATTGCAATCGTCTCACTTTTTAAAAACTGATGTAAAATAATTATTTATTTTATCAGGATCTTTTAAACTGTGTGGTATATCGATGGATTTATTTTTAAAATTTATATTTAAAAGTTTAATTCCCTCCACATATCCTTTTGAGATTATAATTTTAAAGTATTTAAGTATGCAGCATTTTCTAGATTAAGTGATGCCTTTGAAAAGTTTCTCATTTGCTTATTCCCAGTTTTGTTCGGACTTATTTTTATTATATTTACGCAGAGCTTTATCTCTTTCTTTAAAAATAATTTGGAGTTAACCAGGGTGCTTGTGGTTTGCCGACCCTTTTAGTCACAATTGGTGCAGGCACCTCAAAAAGTAAATTTATAAAGTCTGTTAGCAAATCAACTTTTTCAACAATATTGTTTGACATGTATATGCTATTCCAAGGTATACTATTAAGAACATTATTAAAATGCAACTCGTGTATATATTTATAAACTTTTCTGACCACTCATTTAATTAAACACTCGCTCACAAGCTCTCTCGTGCCTAATTAAAACTTGTGACTAAAATGGCGTTTAATACATAATATACTATTATTAAATAAAGTGATTAAATCGGGTTTATCGAATTTAGTTTTATAGAAGAAAAAGAGTTATGCATTTAAAGATTATTTTCAGCAACAGTTGTTCTGGTTCTTCTTTAATTGTGGTTTTGTTTTTATTAAAAAATCTTTTTAGTCTCATGAAAAACGCAAATATCTGTTTATGAATAGTTCTTCAAAAGGGTGGATCAGATAAGATTAATAATTATTATAATAATATATAATAATAAGTATTATAATACATAAATGTATATTTTTAATAAAAACATTTTAATTTAAGGAGAAAAATAAAATGAACATCCCCAAATTTTGTCCGAGCATATTGGATACAACTGGATTTGTTCAAACGTGGTATTGTATTTTTAAAGTCATCATAAAAATAATAAGTGATAAAAAATGTGTTGTTAAAAATTACTTTTGTGAATATTTTTAAAATTATTAGAAATTATTCATAATTATAATAATAGGGCAAAATATTTATATATTATGTATAAAATGTAATATATTATAAATTTAAATATATAAATATATATATATATATATTTTGTACTACGTATACTAAGCATATTTAAATTTTGGTTTAGATAGTCGTCAACATTTGCCCACACAAATGGTTTAGTATCGATTAAGTAAAAATATATTCGTAGTGGGGAAAATTATCTCAGACTCAATAAAACAACAATTTTGACCTTGTCACCTCCGCCTTGACTGTATAAATGATTGCAAATTTATCTTTTAATTTATTTTATATATATGACAAATATTTTTGGGATTAGTCATTTTTTCTTAATACATAAACAATAAATACCAAATAAGAACATCTTGTGTAAGTATTTTCATATAAAATGGTTGGTAACAATATTTAAAGGGAATTTGTGAATAAATACATATATAGACAATTCAAATACAAACATATATGTATCTGTTAAAATACTTTTAAAACCATAAGACTTAATTAATTAAAGATTAAAAACCAGTAATACATGTAATTTAAATTGGAATAAAATAGTTTTTTAATATTTATAAATAAAGTATGGGATAATACGCATGCAAAGCGAGGCATTACATCATTGATAATTATGTGGTAACCTTGCACATACAATTTGTAATTTTGATCCCTGATCTACCTTGGTTAACTTTTAACAATTTTATTTTGTATTTGATGTTCGCAATAAAATATATTTTCTCGTTAGAATAAAATATATTAGGATGGGACAATAATAGTAATTACTACACAAATTTAATTAGAGTTCTAGTCATCAAATATAAAAATATAAATTAGTTACTATTTTTAAAAATGTTTATAAAAATTAATTAATTGATTATATTATATTACACTGGTTCAACAGAACCCAGACTATTTTATTAAGGTTTTTAAGGTGCAGAATTTGAATTTGGTCATATGGATGAAATAATGAGTTTTAGGAAAAAAAATTGTGTGATATTATACGTTGAATATTATATTTTTACTGTTGAGTATAAATTCTTAAAAATCTAACGAAGTAAACTAATTATGAGATCGAATTTAGGTTTAGAACATCCAAAACCTTAATACCTTAAGTCTGGTTTCTTTCACAGAGAGTTGTTTAAATTTTGTCGGCAAAGGTTACAATTTATTATTTTTAACTTTCTGTTGGGTGATGCGGTTAAAATTAATCATAAAAAATTAAAAAATTAAAAATAAATTGTATGTCAAAATTAGTTACTTAACCCCTCGCTTAACCCAGATGGTTATATTTTTATATTACTAATTATATAAAAAAATCAAGATTAATTTTATTCAATATTATAGTAGAGGCGTTGATGTCACGTGTCTTATTGAGGTGAAAAAATATTCACGTTGTACCATTATGTATAATCATTAATTTTAATTAGGTAGTTTAAATTATAATAATTAACAATTATTGTCAATTAATTAATTAAAACAAAATTAAAGTGTGCATAAATAATCTAAACAATCTAAACTGTACATAAATGTTAAGTTTAAAAATAGCAATGTCCTGTTAATATTATAAAATGCAATGTTAACAATAATTATAAGTAGAAATACCTTCTTTATATTTAATGCAATAATTATCTACAGGTTAAATTACTTTTTGGGCAAATTAACTAAGCTGACGAATGCTTTAAAGTAACGTTTAATTATAAATATAATTATAATAGGATAACAGTATTATGCGCATTTATATTAAAAACCGTAAATATTCATTTACCTACTTGCCCACTTCAACTACCATTTTATTACTAAATACATAAGATTTAGGATAGATTTAATTTATTAGAAATTTATTAAAAAAGCATAAACAAATAAATATTTGTATTGTTTTTAGCGCTTTAAGTTAAAAAATAAAAATAAATCTTTTCACGTAAATCCTTTAACTTGTCCTCGAAAATATCCAATTAATAAAAACAACAGCGAAACCTTGACTAGTATGAATAAAAACGAAACTTACATGCAATCTGTTAATAATTCTATCAAAGGTATTAGGAGGTGATTCCATATTATTCACATTGTCCACTGTATCCACTTTCTTTTTACAAAGTTTATTTCCCATTTTGTAAAACAAATGTCAAACACTGCACGATAACAAAGAAACAGGCTGGTTTAAATTTAGCTGCATACTCAGAACCACAAGCAAATCGACTGCTACCAGACTGCTACACTCTCACGCTTCGGTACCAACGATAAACGACCTTACCCAAGCCGACTTTTTTTTCATACACGGTAAGGTTAGATCGTTCACGTGGTCCGCCTGAATTACGTGTGTATTGTTATTGTTTTATATATGATTTATTTTCTCGGTAAATATGAGTATGTGAATATGCCGGTTTTGAAAGACTATGTTTCTTGTAAATACTATAACAAAGAATGTGAACTTATAAAATTATGAAAACTTAATGTTTAGTATGCAATTGTTGAAAAAAATGACATTGTTTTAATGTATGAAACATGAAACAAATTTAGGTTCTTGGTAAATACTAGTTTTAAGTATGCTAAATACTTTTAATTTACTACATTGTTTTTTGTACTGCCTAAAGGTGAGTGCCATCTTCAAAGGATAGTAGCTCCTTTTTATAGTTATTTACGTGTCAAGCTTTGTAAATGAATCTTTACAGGCGAGCTGGAACTTTGTGGGGTGAGCGACGCAGGAGCAAACCCCATAATCCAGTGAGCCTAGTAAAGATGAATTGCAAAGCGTGACAAGTACAAACTTTTATTTTCACCTTTAGATAACGATTTTCAAATTTAAAATTTTAATTAATTTGTCAAAAGTGACATTTCATTTCATAAACTGCTTTTCTACAAGCCTGTAAAACTTTACAGGTCTTATATGCAGGCCTGTAAAATATTACAGGTCTGTTCCCATAATGTATCGTTTACTTGGATACAAAAACTACAAAATTAACCTATAAAATGTTATTTACTAAGAAGGTGGAAATAAAAGCATTTTATCCCCATGTTCTTAGGATTTTTTTCATATTTTGAGCTTTTTACAATTTTTGGATGGCATTTTGAGACACATCTTTAAAACAGCCATGATACGAAATTCATGTCATTCGGTCTTTTAGCCTAAAATATACCTATATATACAGGGTGTTCCGAAACTATTGTTACAAAAATTAAGGATTAGTAGATATCTTGAAAACAAACTTTTTTTGCTTATAAACCCATAGACGCATGCGATTTGGTTCAGTGCTTATAGTGCATACTTGATAGCGCCCTACCTTAGCCGCCTGAGCGCATTGAAAAATTTCCGATGTTTCGCGAACTTCAGCAACAGTTGCAACAACTTAACAACAATACCCGGAAAAACGGACGGACCAATTGCATGGCCTCTACGCTCACCGGACATGACTGAATGCGACTTTTTTCTATGAGGTCACATGAAAGCTCTTGGGTAGGAGACTCCATTTGAAATAGAGTGAGTTAGTAGGAAGGATTGTTGTAGCTACTGGTGAAGTTCGCGAAGCCGGGAATTTTTCAGCGCCCCATGGTGGGGCGCTATCAAGTATGCATTGATGCCAAACGTTTCTTGTGCGCTTTTTTGTCTTTCGATTAAACGGTGGCAATCACTGTGCGGACTGTTATGCAATGTTTATGTTAATTTCCTCGCAAACCGCTAATCTGGTTTTAAGGTTTTTTTTAATGTAGGTTAGTCTTAGTTAGGAGGCAATGGTAGACAATTTTATTCTGATTTTAATTTGAGCATATACAGAGTGCAAAAGTAAGAAGTTTTTTGTCCGAATTTTGTAACATCGAACAACAATTGGAATACTTTAGTTCTATCTTTTTTTATTACATTTTGTTTTTATACCTTTACTAGTCAAAGCCTTGGATATAGTGTGCCAAACACAAGAAATATTCGTCGCTGATTATGGTATTTTTTTACAACCCTTGACAACTTTTACTCATATTTTAAAATAACTGTTATCCATTTCAGCGCATGTCGACTTTACACTTAGTAGTGTTTCGTAGTAAATAATAGAAAACACGAATAAAAAATAAAAAATTAAATAAAGATCGAAAGTTTCAGAAAAGGTAGGGCTACAATATGATTCCAATTGACATACACTGTTATTGCTGATGCGCCCCACAAGGTGTCACAAATTTGGAGACAAAAATTCTTCTTACTTTTGGACCCTGTATATGCTCAAATTAAAATCTAAATAAGAATGTTTATGTTTTCAAAAACATTTTTATTTAGATGCTTTTACTGAAGAGTCAACCAACAGTTAAAAAAAATCATCAAAATCAGATGGGGGGTCTCGAGGAAATCATACGCATACTTTATCCAAAAATTTGGCAATAAAACAGTGTATCAGCGTTAATAATAGAGATAATAACTTAAAAAAAAATGTTCAGAAGAGATAGGACTAAAGGATGATTTTAATTGACATCCGCTGTTGCACCCTATAGGGTGTTACAAATTTAAGGAAAAAATACTTCTTACTTCTAAACTCTGTAGATGCTAAAATAAAAATCAATTTAAAAATTCATAACTTATATAAGGGCATATGCCCTATAGCTTTTAACAACATAAGTATTTGGATATGATTTAAAATTTTAAATTGACCTAGAGCTTAAACGGCTAATTTTCGGACATAATAATATGTTATTAATTAATACATTTTTGTCTCGATGTCCTTTACGACCCCTAAAAGTTTGTCGGTATTTTTTCTGGATACTAATATTTTAATGCATACAATAAAAAAAGAAGCTAATAAATAATTTTAAATTAAGTGCACCGGGTATTTATTTAATAAAACTGTTATATTTTTATAATCCAAAAAATATAAAAATAATCCAATGCCGGTAAAAATAAACTATTAAAGATTTATAACAAATTTTGTATAAGCTATGTGATAATTTATAAATTAATGTTTTTTTCAGGCGTATAACAATTTTTATATTATAACACTCATAAGAGTTCATATTTGTAAGCAGTTTAAAAGTCATTGCCGAGGGGTAAACCACTTTAAAATCTTAGAGACCAACGTTCAATGTTAGTGGAGGTTGTGTTGTGATTTTTCTCCTTATTAGTCGTTATTAATAAGGAAAACTTACAGTGCTTAGCAACGCGTTGCGCATGACTATCCTTGTTATTGTTATACTTAGCCGTTAATTCGTAAGCGATTTTTAATTTTAAAAAATCAGTGGTTTACCCCTCGGTCATTACCGTACAATAATGAAAATATATTGAAACTACAGTGGTTCCATCTATCGTGTTTAGCTTGAAATCAGCAAAGAAAATGTAAACTTACAGGTCACAGAATAAATTCATGGACTTATTTTAAAATTTAAAATAATTTATTTGTTTATGTAATTATTTTTGGAAATAATGGTATATTATTATACGAGAGATAATGCAGGCTATTATTCACCAAATCTTTTTATATTCTTTTTGCAAACATCTTGGTTTATATGGTTAACATTTCTAAAAAAAGTGCTATCATGGGTTCAACCGCAAAATTCTAATGTTCGCTATTGCCTTGTCTATAGTAGCAGCAATGTATATTAAATTGTTTATCCTTACTACTCCTTTGTAAATGTTTATAAACAAATAAATACGAATAACCTTTATTATTAACATAATATTAGGTAAAAATATTGACGGTGTTTTCTGTTTGTTAACATATTTACATACATACATTAATCTTACTAAAGCAAAATATTATTTGAATTTAAATTATTAATTATTCTGTTAAAAAAACATAACTTGTATTAAAACGGACTGTTAATTAACGGTTTCAACAAATTATGCATCAGTGGGCCTACATATAGGTAAAACGTTTTCTACTTGTTGGTTTACATTAAACCGCTATGTTTAAATTAATTGAAAACAAAATCATGTTTATATGTATATAAACATGATTTTGTCTTCAATTATAAAGCCAATGGAAAGCTTATAAAAATTATCCAATATGTTAATTAATATTATCCAAACCCTGTTTATATGAAAATGTTAAATTAGATCATGCTTTATGATTAAAAATCATAATAATTATTTTAAAATTTAAAATATTTAGGAATTTTCGGAATATATTTGTTTACAAATGTTTTTTAAGAAAATTGCAAAGATTATTTCTTATTAAAATTGCTAATATTGGTTTAAAATAAATTATTTTCAATATTTACTTAAAAATAAATAAAACATTGTAATTCCGGAAACGTGATAAAATTATCTACGCTTTGGTAAAGGTGGTATTTAAAGCAACCAATCGATCCGACCTACTTGTATTTAAAATATAATTTTGAAGTTTACGTCACCTGTTTTTATTCTGATGATGTCATATCAAAAGAAAGTAAAGTTAAGTTTATTCACTTATTCGTAGATTTAAGTGTAGGTACGTTGTTTCTTTATTAATTAAATTAAATAATTAGAATATTGTCCTCGACTTGTAATAGTATTTAAAAAGTAACATAAATAAACCTTAAAAAGTAAATTTTTATTACATGCGCACATACAATATTAATATTAAATAGCTCTTCTCAACTCCGTTTACACAGGCCTTACTGAAAGTAAAAGGGAAAACAAGTAAAGGCGCGGCGGCTATTGATTTTGGTATTTCATTATGAATAAATTCTAAAAACAGTCCGCACTTCTGCGTAAAGTTGCTATTTTGCAAAGGTTGAAGCCAGGATAAGAGATTTTTTTAGAATAATGATATGGTAAGGCCAAAATGTAAGTCTTTCTGTGCTGAGCCTAAATTTTAAAAGCCAACTCGTAAAGTTTTTAGAATTTAAAGTCAATTTTATTTGTTGGACTACACATAAAACATAAAATTAATAAAAGAATAAAGTGAGGTTAGGACCGTCTGACAGGTCAAATTTTATGATTGAGGGTCAAGAAAGTTTCTTCCAATTTAAAACCCTATTGGTTCAAATTACAGTGAATAATGGAATCGCCCAATCACTAACACTAGCCTCTTACAAGTTTTAATCTGTTTACTGTTGATTTTTATGTGCAGATGCCAAAATCAATTACTTTAGTGTCATATGTTAAAGACAATGCAGTTTAAATTTTAGAGTGCTTAAAGATAAAATATATTAATA